ATCAGATGGTCGTGTCAACATGTGGAGAAACTTCAACATTTCAAGGTTCTTGGTTCTGTTGGCTCAGATTAGAACAAGCAGAAACTATTATTAGTTTTATTGCTCTTGTGTTTCTGAGCAGAAATTTGTTGGTTGTTAAATTTCTTTACAGATAAAACTCAAAATCTCCATTAATTTAATAAAATACTGATTAAAAATACTAAATATATTTAAAACATAAAGAACATTTAAACTGTGAGTTTGTTGTTTATAAACATCTATTTCCTGGTATCAATAATCAGACAGGATTCCTGTCATTTCAACAGGTGAACACACCTCTGCTGTCAGAGGGGGCGGAGCCTCAGGTGGGTCCGGTCCAGTTCTCCGGTTCGCTCTGACTCAGTTTGTGTGAACAGAAGGAGAAGCAAAGATCTGATCAGGGGAGTTTTAACTCCACTTTATACTGGATCCAGTCCTGACTGGGTTTTCTCTCTTTGAGCTGCTGGACAGAACCAGAACCAGAACTGGGCCTGGTTCTGGTTCTGATGCAGAGCTGCAGCTCCTGATTTCAACCAGGATCTCTGATTTTCTCTGAGTTTTCATCTGTAACCCAGACAACCAGCTGAGTTTGCTCCCAGTTTCATAGTGGAGTCAAACTGGTACCAGTAGGTTCTGAGTGTTTGTGGCCCGGCTGAGATATCTGGGTTCTGGTTGGTGGATGGAAAATATTTCAATATGAAGTCAATAATTTATTGATCAGAGAGGATTTCTCTGGGCTTTGATCAGTAGAAAATCCAGATTGAATCAGTTTGTGGTGACAGAGGACAGCTGATCACATTTCAATCAATTCTTGATCAATAATAAGTGATTATGGTGACAAAACAACACAGCGCCCCCTAGAGTATTTAAAACCATCCACTGCTGTTATTTAGACCTGAACTGAGTTAAAACATCAAACCATCAGAACCGATAAAAACTATTGGACCAGATTTACACACCCAGCAGGAAGTCGGCCATTTTGGATCAAATGTTTTATTGTATTTTATTTTATTTTATTTTTTGACATTTTGACCTTACAAGTAATAACTAAAGTAAAAATCTGAGATTTGTTTGTGAAAGCTCAAATGTTTAAGCTTCTTTAATACCAAGAAAACTTTCCTCCACTCCAACCGTCGCTCTGTTTCTGAGTCTGTTTTTAAAATAATTTAGCAAATATTTGCTTAATTATTGGTTCAATCACAGTAATAATTTTTCTCTTAATAGTAAGTCTGTTTACATGTTTTATATTTTAATCACTGAATTCTTTCACTGATATTTCAACCTTCATTTTCTCCTTTAGTCAAAGTTCCTGGTGAAGTAAAGAAATCTACTTGTTGTTAAATCTTTATCTATTTTTGGTTCAGTGCTAAATGTCTGTTAATTTAATATAAATGAACTGAGTCTCTTTAGAATCACTGCAGCTTTTCCTCTTTTTTTTGGTGGCAGGATTTTGACCCAAATGGCTGCAGTGAGTCTTTTAGTTTCCAAGTAAAACTGTAGCAAATGTGTTAAGTTGTTGTTTTCCCATCTGGTGACCGAAGTTGGAGAATAGCAGAAAAAAACTGTTTCTGGAGGAGCTTTCTGCAGCTGATGCTGCCACCTGGTGGCAGCAGCAACACATTACAGTCAGATGGTAAAAATCAAGAGGTGAAGATGTTTACATTTCAACCTGAAGGAAATCAGACGAACATTATTTTTTGTAAATAAAGATGTGATAAATTTATTTTTATATCACTGATGGTTTTTAATAGTTTGCTCTGACATTGTAACTTTCATGATTACATAAATGTGTTTTTCTGGAGGGGCCTGTGCTTGTGTGTTTTAAATAAGTACTTTTAGGGTATTTATAGTTTCCATTCCAACTGTATAAAATAAACTATTCATGAAATTAAGCCTCAAACATAATAAATCTTCATGTTTTCCAGGTAAAAGATGGCGCAGCAGCAGGAAGTGGATTTCGGTAAGTGATCAGAAGCAGAAATGAAGAATCTTAAAGGATCAAACTGACCAATCACAGCCTGTGTTGCTGCCATGTGATGAAGCTCAGCCTCAGTGTCTTTATTGTTTTCATGCTTCCTGTTCAGTGAAGCTCTGGTGGAAACATTGTGAGTTTCTGTGAAACCTGAAGGTAAAAACTGAACTCAGATGGAAACTAAAAGGAACCGAAGTGAAGAACAGGCCAGCAGCTCTGATACTTCAGGAATATTTACTATAATTCATTTATCCAGTAATCACCTCATTTATTAATAATTTATTATCTCAGACTTGCTGTGTCTTTTATTCCAACACTTGGTGACAGAGATGTGTTAAGAGAATACAATCATGAACTTCTGCCTCGTTATATTCTCTTGTGCTCCCAGATTCAATGATTCCATGTGTGGAAACAATAGCCACACACACATAACAGCGTCACAATAATCAGCATTTATTCAAGACAGATACAAACTATCACCAGACAAACGCATCACAAAACATCAGAAACCTCAGAGCACAAACAACACATGAATTTACCTGAGAGAGAAAAAGACAAAAGATGGAAACGACAAACAAAAAGCAAAGACGTTTTTGGAGAAATTGCAAAGATCAAAATCTAATTTGTTACTCCTGTGTAGAAAGTTTTTATAGTCAAGAATTCAAATAAGGCGTATCTTTGCTCATCCAACCAGGAGCTGTCTCTGACCCTCTCTCTACAGCCATTTGTCCCCCTTTGCTGTTTAATGGCTTTCATGGATCAGTTCGAAAAGCTGGAACTTTTCCTGATTTGTTTTCCCAGACAGACAAAGAGCAGATCAAACGATCTGCTGTAACTACAGGTAAAATAAAGGTCAATAGGGCCTAATAAGTTATTAATTTCAAAACTATAATTAGGCTATTTCAATCAAGACATGTTAAGTTTTAAAACTAGCTTATTTTAAATTTATTTTCTTAACAGACACCAAAGCTTAGAGATGGAGATGAAGAAAGAAAAGTGATAAAAATGTTAATCGTTCAATATTTTCATCACAATATTCACCAATAATATCATAATTTCCTGTTTTCCTAGAATAGTGCAGCTCCATATTTAGAAGGTGTTTCTTTTATTGTTCTTCCTGCAGTGAGGAAAGAAAGTGATGAACCAGAAGCTTCATTTGGTCTCATGTAGACAGAATCAGTGGTCGTCACTCAGATATGAGGCAGAAACACAACAGCAGGTTTAGACCTGAGGAGCTGATCAACAGACTCTGAATCTCTGGATGGAGCAACATGAATCATCACGTTTTTCTCTCAGACGTTGGTTTGAATTAATTATGTTTCTGATTTCTGCCTGCAGAGAAAATACTTTTCAAGGTTCGCAGTGAGTTTGTGGAGAGAGTTTCTGAGGAAATCCTGAAGCGGCTCCTTGATGACCTTCTATCAGATCAGGTCTTTACTCAGTCAGAGATGGAGGGTATACTTCAGAAGAACCAAACCAGAGAAGACAAGGCTCGTAACACCATTGATGCTGTGATGAAGAAAGGACAGAGAGCCTGCAGAGTGATGATCAAATGTCTTCACCACAGAGATCCGACTCTGTCCAACCAGCTGAGTTTGTCCTCTTTGTCTCCTGTTAAAGGTGAGACACACAGTTCATTAAGGCTGTTTTTACAGCCTCTACTGTCTGTGATTCAACTGTAAATGATAATTAAATCATTTAGATTCAAATATCGTTTCAAATATTTTCTGATTTCAAAATTTGTCACCAGAGAAAAGGTTAAATATATTAATCTGCTTGATATGTGATGACACAATATGGATTCTCAGTTCAGCTTGTTGAAAATTAAACTGCATGAAACTTAAATTCAACTGATTATGTTATTATGACATGTTAAATTAAAAAAATTGATGGGTAAATATAGATTATATTTTTCTGACACTGAATGATGATCAACAAAAGTTTAGAGCAACTTGTGAAGCCAATGGAGGTGAAATAAATGCTTCTGTAGATTTTTAATGATCAAACATTTTCTCTACATTTAAAAATAAATGTACTGAAGCAGCTGAGGCCAATTTTCCTCTGATGTTTGCAGCGATGGAGAACCTCCAGGTTCTGGTTCTGATGGGCTCAAATAAACCCAGATATTAAATTTTATCTTGGAGAAATTAATTGATGAGCCAAACATGATGACAAAGACTCAGATCAGCTGATTATTTCACTATAAATATAAATAAATTTTGGTATTCTATTTTCTTAAATGTCAACCTCTTTTGAATGTAGGAAATGCAGTCAAAAGATGTAAACCAGTAGCCTGAACTTTATTTATTTTAAATCCAAATTCACACAACACCAAGCTAATATTATTTACTTTGGTCTTTCACATGTTTGTGCAAACAGCAGCTCTGACTGAACTCTGACACAGCTGCATCGTTTCTCTTTTTGTTGCTTCCTGATCTTCAGAGCGATGAACTAAAAACTGAAATATGGAATATATTTAGATAACCATTGATGTAAATCTTCCCAGAAGGCCTGAGTATATATACAATCATAGAAAGGTGGTCAGAGGTCTCAACATGGTCAGTTCAGGACAGATGATTAATAAATTCAAAGCCAAAACATTTACATAGAAAATCAGAGGATGAGTTTGAGCTACTGAGAATCTCTTCAGCTTTAGGTACTCTAATGCCTTCGCCAAATGAAATGCAACTAGAAAGTACAGCTAAACTCTTCCTTATATCAAGACTCTGAGGAAAGTTGACCTTTTATCCACAGGTTTATTGACTCCAAGGATGTGTGAAACTAAAATACAAACAAAAAGGAATACATCACTTTCACCGTCTTTGTAAACATGTACATATAAGTTTAACGTAGCTAAATTAAATACTGTCCAAAATGAATTAGCAAAGTTGTGCAAACTTACAATAAACATCCAAAAATATTTTACATCCATCTCAACAACCAGAAATAATATAAAAATAATGATGCACAACAATATATTAAACTCAACGTACCTACAATGCTTCGTCAGGGCAAAGATGAATGCAGATGGAAATGGACTGACTGAACACACGGGTGACATGAATCTAACTCTGTCTGGCTTTCTGGCTGAAGCCACATGACATGCAGCTGGCTGCACCTCTCAAAGGGAACGACCCCCACACATAGACACACACACAAAAATCCCCAACAACACAGGTACAATAGAAAATTAGTAAAACTTTGATCTTAATGTTGTTGTTTTATTTTTTTCAAATCTGATAGTTCACTAGACTCATTTTGATTGGGATTGCAATTTCAAATTAAACAGTTTGGTAAAACTCAAAGGTCAGAGGTCGCTCTGTGGGAAACATGTCTGAGACCTTCAACCAGAGAAAAACATAAAAGACTTTTAATGAGCAAAACTGATTTTAATTATCTCTGTGCAGTTTTTGTTACTTAACAGAGTTTTTATCAGGTTTGAACTTTTTGTTCATTTATTTACTTTGTGAGCTGAAGCCAAAGTTTTCACAGAATTACAAATTAAATCTCAACATTTCTCCGTCCTTAAGGACTGAAGTTGGAATGATTTTCTTGTTTAGATGAGTAAATATTATAAAAGTAGAATTTTTCCTTCATTAAAGTTTATATTCAAACCTCCTCGGAGAATATCAAATATAATTTTATTCATTATATTTAGCTAAAGCCTCTCCTGTTGTGTCTTTGTCTCTTTTTCTTCAGATTTTGATGTTCGGTGTCAAAAGGAGCTTAAAGACCATCTGAAGATGAAGTTCCAGAGTCTCTCTGAAGGCGTCGCTGAACCTGGAAATCAAACCTTTCTGAACCAGATCTACACAGAGCTCCACATCACAGAGGGGTTAACTAGAGAGGTCAACCAGGAACATGAGGTCAGACGGATTGAAACAGCATCCAGGAAACAAGAAACAATCAGGAGAGAAGACATCTTTAAACCTGGAAGTGATCAACCAATCAGAACAGTGATGACCATGGGAGTGGCTGGCATTGGGAAAACACTGTTAACACAGAAGTTCACTCTGGACTGGGCTGAGGGCAGAACCAACCAGAACATCCAGTTCATATTTCCATTCACTTTCAGAGAGCTGAATAACTTGAAAAAGAAAAAGTTCAGCTTGGTGGAACTGATTCATAAATTATTTACTGAAACCAAAGGAATCAGCAGCTTTGAACAGTTCCAGGTTCTGTTCATCTTTGATGGTCTGGATGAGAGTCGACTTCCTCTGGACTTTGATGATAATCTGATCCTGACTGATGTTACAGAGTCCAGCTCAGTGGATGTTCTGCTGACAAACCTCATCAGGGGGAAACTGCTTCCCTCTGCTCTCCTCTGGATAACCACACGACCTGCAGCAGCCAATCAGATCCCTGCTGAGTGCGTTGGCATGGTAACAGAGGTCAGAGGGTTCACTGACCCCCAGAAGGAGGAGTACTTCAGGAAGAGATTCAGAGGTGATGAAGAGAAGGCCAGCAGGATCATCTCCCACATCCAGAAATCAAAAAGTCTCCACATCATGTGTCACATCCCAGTTTTCTGCTGGATCACTGCTAAAGTTCTGGAGGAAATGATGGAGACCAGAGAGGAAGGAGAGCTGCCCAAGACCCTGACTGAGATGTACATAGAGTTCCTGCTGGTTCAGCTCAAAATCAAGAAGGAAAAGTTTGATGGACGACGAAAGACAAAATCAATCTGGAGTCCAGAGAACAAGAAGCTGATTGAGTCTCTAGGAAAACTGGCTTTAGATCAGCTGCTGGAGGGAAACCTGATCTTCTATGATGAAGACCTCAAACGTTGCGGCATCGACATCACAGATGCTGCGTTGTTCTCAGGAGTTTTCACTGAGATGTTTAAAAAGGAAACAGGAACACACAACATCTCCGTCTACTCCTTTGTTCATCTGAGCATCCAGGAGTTTCTGGCTGCCGTCTACATGCTCCACTGCTTCACCAGCAGGAGGTCAGAGGTCATCAAGACGTTCCTGGGAGAAGAATACAATGAAACATCTCTAGATGAGTTCATGAAGAAAGTCATGGAGAAATCCCTCAGCAGTAAAAATGGCCACCTGGACCTGTTTGTCCGCTTCCTTCATGGTCTCACTGTGGAGTCCAACCAGAGACTCTTAGAGGATCTGCTGGGTCAGACAGAGAACCGTCCAGAAACCATCCAGAGAATCATCACCAACCTGAAGGAGATGAACTCTGATGAATTCTCTCCTGACAGAAGCATCAACATCTTCTACTGTCTGATGGAGATGAATCACATTTCATTTACTAAGGAGATAAAACAGCTCCTGATATCAGGGAA